AGGTCATGGAGGTTTTCCTCTATGTTTTCTTCCAAGAGTTTTATGGATTTAGCTGTTTATGTACAGGCCATTCATTGATGCATTTGAATTGGTCCCATTGTTCTGGATTTGCAAAGAGTAGACAAGAGTTGGGTGTTTGCCCCCCCAACACCATTTCTGTCCCTCTCTTTCAAGAAAAAGAGAAATATGCCTCAAAGAGAACATGATAGGTATTAAAATGTAGCTGGTTATAGACCATGCTCTTGGCCAGTCCTGTTTTTCCCAAAACAGTCTTCAAGTTCTTCATTTTCCTCTTCTCATTCCTGTTTCCAGTACTACCCAATATGACCTCCCATCTTCTAGTTTCTGGATCAAAGTGTGATATGTTTCATATTCAGGCACTAAACTTACAGTCTCATGTACAAACTGTGAGCATTGATCCCAGCCATAATGTGGCACTGTTGTAAGCCTAGCATAAAATATTAAGCAGGCAGTGGGTGCAAACCAGCCTGGAGATGGCATGTGGGTGAAATCTATAGTAGAAAGTACGTTTCTGATAGGGTTCCCTGAGAGCAGGTAAAGAATCCTCCTGCAATGGGGAATATCCCCTTTTCCCACCCCCACCACCCCCTGGTGGGCTACAGTCCAAAGAGTGGGATACAGCTGAATGACAGAGCACACGTGTTTTTATTAAGGATTTCTTTTCAAATGACAAAGACTTGAGACATTGATTAGACTGTGAGGCATGTGGATGGGGATAGCTTTGTGGAAATCCTAAACAAATTTAGGAAATAATTGAGGGCTGTAGAACATGTTAATCTTCGAAGAGGAGGTGGTAATTCTCAACCTTGGCTTCACATCAGAGTCAGCTAAGAAGAATGAAAAATAAGCCTGCCCTAGACTAAGTGGAATTGTCGTATGTATAAGGCTCAAAAGGAATTTTTATTTTTTATTTACTTTTCTTCCTTTTCTATCTTTTAAATTATGAAAATATGATAACATTTACAGGAGACTTGGAAAATACAGAACTAAGTTACATATAGTTGCATTGTGTATTACAATTGTTTAAATAGATAAATTAAGATTTTTAGTTGAAATTTCAATATCAAACTCTCAGAAATTAATAGAATGAATGTACAAGGAAGTAGAAGAATATAGTAGACCTGAAAAGCATTACAAACCAATTTAATAGTTAAGATTTATACAGTTTTCACACAAGAAGAAGATATAAATTCTATTCAAGTTCCCATAGACTATTAAGAATCACTGGTACATATACAGAGACATAAGACCAGGTGCAGAAATCTCATGGTCCAGAGGTACTGAAATCATACAGTCTGTCCTCTTATTACTGTCAAATTATGTTAGAGATCAATATCAAAAGATACTTGACTGGGGATATATGTATACCTATGGCTGATTCATGTTGAGGTTTGACAGAAAACAAAATTCTATAAAGCAATTATCCTTCAATAAAATTTTTAAAAAGATTAAAATTACAAGCCCCCCCACCAAAAAAAAAAAAGATACTTGAAAAAATACTTGATACCGTATTTTCAGTGCAGTGTGACATTTAACAAGAGAGATCTTAGGCTTAGCCATTGAAAGTTTCAGTAAAGTTAGAAGACAAAAAACAGGGTGGTTGCAGAGAAGAAAGCATTTAAATGAAAATATCAAGGATACCTTAAGAAAGCTCATGTACTTGGAAATTAAACGTCTACTTTTAAATGAGTATATCTAAGACGCCATTACAAGGAAAATTAGAAAATATTTGTGATAGAATAAAAATGAAAAGAGAATTTACCAGAATTTGTTGCATGCAGCTGAAGCTGCTCAATTAAATACAAATTGGAGTCTTCAATAATGTATGAAAACAAATAATGGACACTAGCATAAAATTTTGTGAGATTTGAATAAAATCTGTACTTTAATACTGTCACATTAATTTCCTGTTGTGTTTTTTTTTAACAATAATATTATTTATATTCTCATAACTGGATTAGAAGTTTCAAGCCTCAGTTAAATTTTTTTAATCATTAAGATAATACTTTCTAGACTTTGGCAGTAATACTAGATGCCAAAATATATGAAAGTATATATCAAAATTCTGAGTGAATATGAATTAGGAATATAGCATTCTATTCATACTAAGTCAAACAAGTGGAATCAAAATGTCAAATTTTTTAGCTAGGCAAAAATTCATAAATTTTCTAGAATATATATATTATACATACTATATAAACACACATGTATACAAAATCTTTTCTACTGTGCTTGGTAAAGGCTTGAGAAAGAATATCAAAAGAGATGGAGAAATTGGAAAACAAACTAAATGAAATGGGAACACTGAATATGAAACAGATAAAAGATCATCACATAGTCCAGTTGTTTTTAAACATGGCTGTTCATTAAAAATACACCTGGAGCTTTGGAGAAGAACAACAATACCTGAGCATTTGTATTTTTCAAAAAATTACAAGATAATTCTGATATGTATCTGGATGTTAAGAAGTGATTATAGTTTTTCTGTTAAATGGTAGTTTCAGTGATCATTGAGAGTCCCTTGGACTGCAACGAGATCCAACCAGTCCATCCTGAAGGCAATCAGTCCTGAATACTCATTGGAAGGACTGACGTTGAAGCTGAAACTCCAATATTTTGGTCACCTGAAGCGAAGAGCTGACTCATTTGAAAAGACCCTGATGTTGGGAAAGATTGAAGGCAGGAGGAGAAGGGGACAACAGAGGATGAGATGGTTGGATGGCATCACCGACTCAATGGAGATGAGTTTGAGTAAACTTGAGAGTTGGTGATGGACAGGGAGGCCTGGCGTTCTCTGGTCCATGGGGTTGCGAAGAGTCAGACACGACTGAGCAACTGAACTGAACTTAGTGATAATTTTATTTTCTGTTGACTAATCATGATATAATTATTGTATTAAGCAAAAATAACAATAGTAGAAGAATTTTATCAGTGTTTACAATCAATAGCTAGATAAAAAATAAAAGATCATTACTATTGCAAGCCATAATGGAAACAGGATTAACCTAACAATGTAAAGTAATTACATATAGTTTGAGGGGTTAAGTAGAGTGATGTGGTAAGTGGAAGTGTATACTTGCACATGTTCTCATCCACCCAGCCAGTCTTATCTTGGTTCTTGCATTTAATCCATTTACACTTAAGGTAATTACCTTATCAATATGTATGGTCCTATTACCATTTTCTTAGTCATTTTGGGTTTATTTTGTGTAGGTTTTTTCCTTCTCTGTGTTTCCTGTTTAAAGAAGTTCCTTTAGCATTTGTTGTAAAGCTGGTTTGGTGGTACTGAACTCTCTTAACTTTTGCTTGTCTGTAAAGCTTTTGAGTTCTCTTGTCAAATCTGAACGAGAGTGTTCGATGGGCAGAGTATTCTTGGTTGCCGGTTCTTCCTTTTCATCACTTTAAATATGTCATGCCATTCCCTTCTGGCTTGTAGAGCTTCTATTGAGAAATCAGCTGATAACCTTATGGGAGTTGCCTTGTATTTTGTCGTTTTTTCCCTTTTTTTTTTTTTTTTTTTTAGTGGAGTGCAGTTTATTACACTGGCGGGCCCAAGGCAGAGTCTCCTCTTAGCCAAGGACCCCGACCACTATTTATGAAAATCTTTTATACCCCGTGTGTATACGTGTTCAAACCCACCAGCCCAAATCCCTTGAGGCTTACAAAGGAAGGGTAAATACAATCACAATAACCCCATCATTCACGTGTTTTGTGTTCAAATAGTTAATAATCAATAAGCCCGTGGTTACATTCCAACCAGTTAATAACCGATAAGCCTGTGGTTACATTCCGATAGATACTGTCCGGAGGCAGGGGTGATTAGTGTCTGTTTTCTCTTAGGATCTTCAAGATTCCCCTGCCCAGAGGGGGTCTTATCCTTCCATTGTCATTCACACCAGACGCTAAGCACAGAGTTCAGAGTCCACTGGAGAGGTGGCCTGGCACGACCAACACGGACAGGCCTGAGATGGGGTCCAGGCCCTATGAATTCCTTCTTCATTCCCCCCTCTTGATGCTCTTAGTTTCCATAACGAGCATCATTTACTGAGATATATTGTACCTTAGCCCTCCTGCCTCCCACATGAGAGAATGCTATCAACCTCTGGGTCACAAAATTCACAAGGCATTGTAGGAAGCAGGGCCCCAAAGTAGTATGATCAAGATTACTATAGCAACAGTTACAATGGTTTCCCACCATCTCCCTTTACCCAGGAGAGGACTGAAGTCCAAAAGGGAATATTTTCATTAGACATGGCTTTCACTTGATTTTGCATATCCTCCAAGGCAGTAGATACATCTTCAGACAGGTCAGGGATGTACACACAACATTCGACTTTAATTATGGTGCAAGTCCCTCCTTGGGCTGCTGTGAGTATGTCTAATGCCATCCTATTTTGAATTACTGCCTTCCTCATCTGAATCTGTTCTTCGTTCAAAGCTTGAATGGCTTTTGTACTGTCTAAGAGGGCCTGTTTAGTGAAATTAGTTAAGGCCTCTACCTTAACCATGATAACTGTTGTCCCTACAGACGGTACAAACAAGGCAGCAAGATAGTTGTACCATTGGAACACGGATCGTGTCCATCTTGCATGCAGATAGGGCAGGTTTACTGGAGGCTGGTGTAGGCTAGGCTTAATACTGCCATGGGCGAAAGCAAATCCTAATGAGCAACGCCCCACCCAGCCAACTGGTAACCAAGCCCACAGAGCCACTGGGTCCCACTGGGGGCTACCCAGCGGATTCCAGGATTATATTTCCATCGGAACCGGGCCACTGAGCAGACTGATTGGGGTGATAGGTAACTTCCAAGATTTGTTTACATTGTTCAGGGGACAAATAACAATTCTTTTGGGTCTAGGGGGCGGTCTCCAAATCCAACTTTCTGTTCTTTTTGTTCCCAGCAAATAGTAGCAGGGGCAATCAACTGTCCTTTCTCAGGAGTCATCCAGAAATATTCATCCCAGACCTGGCAGTATTGCTCAAGGACACCGGGAGGCCTGTCCCCCTTTTGTAAGGGAGCCCTTTTCCTCTTTAATTTTCATGTATGAGGTATAAGCCTTTGTTATCTCCGTAAGGCTGGTATTCATGTTAAATGTAACCCTATGTCCCTGGCCCATTGATGGCTGCTTCTTACACCAGGAGAGCAAAGAAAGGTTAAGGTTGGTGAGAGAGAGGGAAGTTCCTTTCTGTTGTTCTAAAAAGGAGCACAGTGGTATAAAGTCCCCATAACGGAGTGGCGATACCCACCAGGGAGTCTGTCCATTACTGACAGGGGCATAGCCCCACATACCCAACAGTTGGAGGAGTTGTGGAATTTCGCGTAAGAATGTGCCCATGAGATGAAGACATTGTCCTGTGCAGGAACAGTGGTCAGGTTCAGAATTGCGTTGGTGAGGCCGAGCAGCAGGAGTCGTTTACCCAGCTCCATCCTGTGGAGGGCTTGTCTGGGACCTCGTTTTCTTCTTTCTCCTCAGAATGATCTTGGTTCCCCGTGGGTGGGTGGGGTCCTTCTGGGTGGTCCAGTTGGCGTCCTCCAGGTCAGCCTGGTATGCCTTCTTCGCTCTGGTGTGATGGATCAAGGGACAATACCTGCAACTTTAACTGGCAGATCCCAGAGGGAGAAGGGGGATCGGCGTGTCTTCACCTGCCGATCAGCACAGCTGAACCAGAACATCACATGGTCCAAGACTGTTTCTCCCTTAAAGTCTGTTCTGCCTTGGTGGGCTTGATCAGGTGCGGATGAAAACACAGATGGGTTAAATATTCCCCTCTTGTTTTTAATATTTTATCTTTGTCTCTAATTTTTGTCAGTTTGATTAATATGTGTCTTGGTGTATTCCTCTTTGGGTTTATGCTGCCTGGGACTCGCTGTGTTTCCTGGACTTGATTGACTATTTCCTTTCCCATGTTAGGGAAGTTTTCAGCTATTCTCTTCAAATATTTCCTTAGGTCCTTCCTCTCCTCTCCTTATTGGACCCCTGTGATGCAAATGTTGGTGTGTTTAATGTTGCCCCAGAGGTCTCTTAGGCTGTCTTCATTTCTTTGTTTTGCAGCTGTGATTTCCACCATTCTGTCCTCCAGGTCATTTACCCATGTTTCTATCTCAGTTATCCTGCTATTGATTCCTTCCAGTGTATTATTCATCTCTGTTTGTCCTTTGGTTCTTGTGTGTCTTTGGTAAACATTTCTTGAATCTTCGTCAGTGTTTTCCTGATATCCTGGATCATCTTCAACTATCATTATTCTGAATTCTTTTCCTGGAAGGTTGCCTATCTCCACTTCATATAGTTTTTCTTGTTCCTTGATTTGAGACATAACTTTCTGCTTTTTCACCCTAATTAACTTTCTGTAATGTGGTTTTTGTTCTCGCTGCTTTGGGATTGTGGTTCTTGCTTCTTCCGTCTGCCCCCTGATGGAGGAGGCTAAGAGGCTTGTGTAAGCTTCTGGATGGTGGGGACTGGTGGTGGGAAAAATTGGGTCTTGCTCTGGTGGGCAGAGCCCCCCGCTCAGTAAAGCTTTAATCTAACTTGTTTAGCCTGAGGTGACCACACCCTGGGATCTGTGGAGCCTGGGGGGTTAGTGGTCCAGGACGGATGCTCCCAGCGCACCTGCCCCTACCACAAGAGCCACTGCTGACCCAGGCCCCCACCAGAGACCCTTCAACAGTCACAGGTAGGTCTGGTGCAGTCTCCTGTGGGTCACTGCTCCTTTCCCCTGGGTCTTGGTGCAGATAAGATTTTGTGTGTGTACATCTCCAAGAATGGAGTCTGTTTCCCCCAGTCCTGTGGAAATCCTGTAATCAGATCCTACTGGCCTTTAAAGTCAGATTTCCTGGGGAGTCCAGTCCCTTTGTTGGATCCCCAGGCTGAGAAGCCTGACATGGGGCTCAGAACCTTCATGACAATGGGAGAACTTCTTTGGTGTCATTGTTCTCCAGTTGGTGGGTTGCCCACCTGACGGGTATGGGATTTGGTTTTATTTTATTTTTTTTTAAGATTTATTTATTATTTTTATTTATTGCTGCACTGCGAGGCATGTGGGATCTTAGTTCCCTGACCAGAGGTCAAACCCACGCCCCCTGCATCCAGAAGGCAGATTCTTACCCACTGGACCACCAGGGAAGTCCCGGGATTTGGTTTTATTATGATTGCTTCTCTCCTACCATCTCTTCACGGCTTTGTCTTTGTCTTTAGGGCATTTTTTGGGGGGTGGGTTCCAGTGTCCTCCTGTAGATGGTTGTTGAACACTTAGTTGCAATTTTGGTGTTCTATCAGGAGGAGATGAGTGCATGTCCTTCTACTCTGCCATCTTGAACCCACTCAGACTTAATTTTTAAAAGCTGAAGTGACTGTAGGGCCAGGGTTAGAATCACTGATTTAAAGGAAATAGGAATTTACTAGTAATTTAAAGCAGTGCTTCTCAACTTCATTGTGCATACAAATCACCTGGGATATTATTACACTGCATATTTTGATTGAAGAACTCTGAATGGATCTTAGACATAAAAGTAAACTAAAACTAAAACTCTTAGAACCTAGAAGAAAACAGTGTGAATCTTTGTGACCTTGTACAAGCAACCAATGGAAAATAAGTTGGACTTAATCAAACTTAAAAATTATTGTGCTTCAAAGCTGATCAAGTGAAAAAGACAACCCACAGAATGGGTGGAAATATTTGCAAATTGTATATCTGGTAAGTCTCCAAGTTATAGAAAGAACTCTTATAACTCAACAATAAAAAGACAATCAATTAAAAATGGACAAAGGATTAAAATAGACATTTTTCCAAAGAAGATAAGCAAATGGGCAATAAACACAGGAAAAGATTGTTGTTCTGTTGCTAAGTCATGTCTGACTCTGCGCTCCCATGGACTGTAGCCTGCCAGGTTCCTCTGTTGATGGGATTTTCCAGGCAAAAATACTGGAGTGGGTTGCCATTTCCTTTTCCAGGGATCTTCCCCACTTAGGAATCAAGCCTGCATCTTCTAATTGGCAGGTGGATTCTTCACCATTGAGCCACCAGGGAAGCCCAATGAAAAGATGAGGAAAATGCAAATCAAAACCTTAATGAGGAGCCGGCACAGCCGGTTGCAGAGGCAAGTTCTGAGCCTGTACCGCGAGCTGTTGCGCGCCGGCCGCGGGAAGCCGGGCGCCGGGGCACGAGTGCGGGCCGAGTTCCGGCAGCATGCTTGCCTGCCACGCTCCGACGTACTGCGCATCGAGTACCTGTACCGCCGCGGTCGGCACCAGCTCCAGATGCTACGCTCGGGCCATGCCACGGCCATGGGTGCCTTCGTGCGTATGTGGGGCCCGACCGAGGAGTCCACCGGCGCGGGGGCCCCAGGGACCCTGTCTGATGAAGGTTACGACCCGAAGAGACCGCTAGACAGCGTGAGGACACAGAAGACCCCGCTGGATGGACGGTGACTGGCTGAAGGGCTCGGCCGATGGCTCAGGGGGACTGGCGGACCTGGGAGCCCCCCGATGGAAATTGAGAGGTCTTGAGAAACTAGATTGACAGATTGAGGGAGTTGAAGAGCCCTCCTGGGACGTGGGGTGCGATGGTGAGAAATGCCCAGTTTTACTTGCTGTATGGTACCGGGTCAAACTTAACCAGTGAGGCTTGGGGCGGACTGTCAATCTGAGAGCTACTTACCCTAAGGCCTGGGGAGCCAAGACGCCCAGCTGTTGGACAGAAAGAGACTGACACGTTCTTGTCTAGAACCTTGAGAAATACCACTGCTGGCTCCTCAGAGACTCCCCTCTCCTGTATTTAACTCTGAGAAGAGCAGACTTTTTCGTTGAGGAGTTTGGGATGATGCCCTGATGGACGGTGAGAAGCCTGGAAACCCCCTCAGAAAAATCTTTCCTCCATTGAGACCAACTGGGATTGGTGAGGAAGCGGGTAAGGGGTCTCTCACCCCCGCTAATCAGTTAAAGACCCCCTCAAGACCTCTACATGATGGTTCTGAGGGGGAAACCTCCCACCTCCCCGATTCCTGCCCCTTTCCCTGCTCAGGACTGTTGAACAAAAAGGCAATAAAATGGGGTGTGCTTACTTAAAAAAAAAAACTTAATGAGAAGCCACTTCATATTCCATTAGGATGGCTGTAATCACAAAGACAGAATAACAATTGTTGACTAGGATTGCTGGTGGGAATGTAAAATGGTGCAGCTCCTACTTGGAAGAGAGTTCGGCAGTTTCTTAAAAGGTTAAACCATGGAGTTAGCATTTTACCTAAATTATCTGTGAACGAATGGATAAATAAAATGTGGTAGATCTATACAGTGAGTACTGCCAATATTTATCAATAAAAAGGAATGAAATACTGATACATGCTGAATAAGGGACAAACATTTTTACAGAGGCCTTCGACAACGTGCTTGCTAGGTGGGATGGGAGAACTTCTCAAGATATTTTTGCTTACCCTCAGTGCTAGAGCCCTAGTTACAAAAGCAGAAGATATATGTTCTGAGAGATTAATCCTCTAGCTTCCTGTCATTCAACCCTCTGTCCTCAGGGTATAATCAACTATCACTGTGGTTATAGTGAAAACCCACCAAATTCTCATTTTTCTGAGAAGGGAGGTTCAAGTTATACTGAGTTTTTTGCTTATTGCTGTAATGGTGAATGACATGTTCTCTCAACTATTTCAAATCTAGGCCTAAAAAAAACCTTAATGGCAAGAATCCTGATGAAGGAAAAGCCGTGCCTGTCATCCAGGAACTGGCCTAGTCAATACTAAAAGGGAGGCCCCTCTGTCCTGCTGAAAGTAGACAGTTTCACAGGACACCTACAATATGGCTCTATGACTATGGTCAAGAAATTCTGTAATTGTTCCTGAACGAGACAATTCTGTAATCGTTTCTGAACCCAGAGAAAGACATGAAAATGACCAAATATCGAATTTCCTGGCAATTCAGTGGTTAGAACTCTGTGCTTTTACTGCCAAAGGTTCGAATTCAGTCCCTGGTCAGGGAAAAATATCTTATCTCCCTGTCCTGGCTAATGTACTTCTTTAAGAACAGCTTTAGGGACTTCCCCGGTGGTCCAGTGGCTAAGACTGCACTTTCTTTTTTATTTATTTATTTATTTAATTAGTTGGAGGCTAATTACTTCACAATATTGTAGTGGGTTTTGTCATACATCGACATGAATCAGCCATGGATCTACATGTGTTCCCCATCCCTATCCCCCCTCCCACCTCCCTCCCCGCCTGATCCCTCTGGGTCTTCCCAGTGCACCAGGTCCGAGCACTTGTCTCATGCATCCAACCTGGGCTGGTGATCTGTTTCACCCTAGATAATATACATGTTTCGATGCTGTTCACTTGAAACATCCCACCCTCACCTTCTCCCACAGAGTCCAAAAGTGTGTTCTATACACCTGTGTCTCTTTTTCTGTTTTGCATATAGGGTTATCGTTACCATCTTTCTAAATTCCATATATATGTGTTAGTATACTGTAATGGTCTTTATCTTTCTGGCTTACTTCACTCTGTATAATGGGCTCCAGTTTCATCCATCTCATTAGAACTGATTCAAATGAATTCTTTTTAATGGCTGAGTAATATTCCATGGTGTATATGTACCACAGCTTCCTTATCCATTTGTCTGCTGATGGGCATCTAGGTTGCTTCCATGTCCTGGCTATTATAAACAGTGCTGCGATGAACACTGGGGTGCACGTGTCTCTTTCAGATCTGGTTTCCTTGGTGTGTATGCCCAGAAGTGGGATTGCTGGGTCATATGGCAGTTCTATTTCCAGTTTTTTAAGAAATCTCCACACTGTTTTCCATAGTGGCTGTACTAGTTTGCATTCCCACCAACACTGTAAGAGGGTTCCCTTTTCTCCACACCCTCTCCAGCATTTATTGCTTGTAGACTTTTGGATAGCAGCCATCCTGACTGGCGTGTAATGGTACCTCACTGTGGTTTTGATTTGCATTTCTCTGATAATGAGTGATGTTGAGCATCTTTTCATGTGTTTGTTAGCCATCTGTATGTCTTCTTTGGAGAAATGTCTGTTTAGCTCTTTGGCCCATTTTTTGATTGGGTCATTTATTTTTCTGGAGTTGAGCTGGAGGAGTTGCTTGTATATTTTTGAGATTAATCCTTTGTCTGTTGCTTCATTTGCTATTATTTTCTCCCAATCTGAGGGCTGTCTTTTCACCTTGCTTATAGTTTCCTTTGTTGTGCAAAAGCTTTTAAGTTTCATTAGGTCCCATTTGTTTATTTTTGCTTTTGTTTCTAAAATTCTGGGATGTGGGTCATAGAGGATCCTGCTGTGATTTATGTCGGAGAGTGTTTTGCCTATGTTCTCCTCTAGGAGTTTTATAGTTTCTGGTCTTACATTTAGATCTTTAATCCATTTTGAGTTTATTTTTGTGTATGGTGTTAGAAAGTGTTCTAGTTTCATTCTTTTACAGGTGGTTGACCAGTTTTCCCAGCACCACTTGTTAAAGAGGTTGTCTTTTTTCCATTGTATATCCTTGCCTCCTTTGTCGAAGATAAGGTGACCATAGGTTCGTGGATTTATCTCTGGGCTTTCTATTCTGTTCCATTGATCTATATTTCTGTCTTTGTGCCAATACCATACTGTCTTGATGACTGTGGCTTTGTAGTATAGTCTGAAGTCAGGCAGGTTGATTCCTCCAGTTCCATTCTTCTTTCTCAAGATTACTTTGGCTATTCAAGGTTTTTTGTATTTCCATACAAATTGTGAAATTATTTGTTCTAGTTCTGTGAAAAATACCGTTGGTAGCTTGATAGGGATTGCATTGACTCTATAGATTGCTTTGGGTAGTATAGCCATTTTGACAATATTGATTCTTCCAATCCATGAACATGGTATATTTCTCCATCTGTTTGTGTCCTCTTTGATTTCATCAGTGATTTATAGTTTTCTATGTATAAGTCTTTTGTTTCTTTAGGTAGATATACTCCTAAGTATTTTATTCTTTTTGTTGCAGTCGTGAATGGTATTGTTTCCTTAATTTCTCTTTCTGTTTTCTCATTGTTAGTGTATAAGAATGCAAGGGATTTCTGTGTGTTAATTTTGTATCCTGCAACTTTACTATATTCGTTGATTAGCTCTAGTAATTTTCTGGTAGAGTCTTTAGGGTTTTCTATGTAGAGGATCATGTCATCTGCAAACAGCGAGAGTTTCACTTCTTCTTTTCCTATCTGGATTCCTTTTACTTCTTTTTCTGCCCTGATTGCTGTGGCCAACACTTCCAAAACTATGTTGAATAGTAGTGGTGAGAGTGGGCACCCTTGTCTTGTTCCTGATTTTAGGGGAAATGGTTTCAATTTTTCACCATTGCGGGTAATGCTTGCTGTGGGTTTGTCATATATAGCTTTTATTATGTTGAGGTATGTTCCTTCTATTCCTGCTTTCTGGAGAGTTTTAATCATAAATGGATGTTGAATTTTGTCCAAGGCTTTTTCTGCATCTATTGAGATAATCATATGGTTTTTATCTTTCAATTTGTTAATGTGGTGTATCACAATGATTGATTTGCGGATGTTAAAGAATCCTTGCATTCCTGGGATAAAGCCCACTTGGTAAGACTGCACTTTCAACGCAAGGGGTGCTGACTCTATCCCTGGTCTTGGAACTAAAATTCCACATGCCGCATAATAATAGTTTTAGCCTCATGTCATGCGTCTCACCTTTTCGAGATTGGCTCTCTCTCAACTTACTGAGATAGCCAATCAACCCACACTTGCTCACAGTATCCATTTAGAGAGAGCCCTGTTTCCTTGAACCTTTCCCCCTATCACCTAACTTGCCCACATCATAAGTCCTTGTAACAGCTTACAGAGATATGCCCTCGTGGTTCTGAAGGTGTGTGGTGTTCTTTATTCAGTGAGCAAAAACCCCAGCTTGTTTAATGCAGGTGTGTTCCTCATCACCTGGCAATGAGTTGTGGCTGCCCATTTTAGATAAAGCATGCATTTTCCATTTTGTCACGGTTCTGCACTCCCCATTGTCTCCCACATCCCACTGTTACTGTTTTTGTTAGGCCCTCTCGGCATTCAGGTATGCAAGTCCTGGTGCGGACTGTCATTATTTTGGGACCTTTCCCCTAGCACCAGCTGATTGGATCCTTGGTTGAGGTATGTGTTACTCAATATTAGGTCTGGGGTCCTCCTAAGTGATGGCTGCTGACTTCTCAACCTTCATTCACAAAGTGAAATTTAATTTCTACAGCATGTAAGATATGTTGCATGAGGGGGAAACACTGGAGGAATTCGATTATCCAGAAGGAAGTCAGCAAGAGGCTACATTTCAAATGAGATTCTGTAAGAACTGAAACAGTCCCCTATGTTGATGCCCAATGCAGCCTGTGGGCTGGATGTCTAATCAAATTATACTTCCTTGGTAATTGTTAGGCATTCATAATGCCCATAACAGTCAACAC